TCGTATTGAAATGTAACAGACGGAGATAACTTCTCATCAATTAAATTATTTAAATTACCAAATTCAAGGAAATTTAATAAAATTGAAAATTTCTTCTGGCTGTGATGACTCCCGAAATTTTACTGACGACACGACAAATAGCGGTTCACACAATACTGCCAACTTCCCTACATCATAGTTTAGATTTTATCCCTAGATTATGTACGGCCTAGTTATTTTAAAGCCGTGAACGTAATAACACTGTGGTCGCTTATTTGTTTACATACTATTTCTTCATTATCGTTTGCTAGGTCAGGTGCTTTTAATAGTTGGGTGAGACACTACGTAACTGATCCCGGCTTGTAACTACAGGAGGATGAGAAATATTTATGGGACGCCGTCTTGAACCACAGCAACACAATGCAAGACACTGATATTTTATGTGTTCCCGTAAAAGTGTCAGATAACCACTTACGACTCTGGAGCGGGTGCCATCTGCCGTGACTGATGTTCAAACGAATCAAGCGACATAGCTCCCATTTGAAGGCACAGCTTAATTAAGGTTGCGCATTTCGTCAGATCAATAATTCTCAACCTTGCAAGGAATATGGTCACTTGCATCATTTTTGCGACTAGTGGGCCAAAAGGTTCAGTTTATTGAAACTTTACACCAATTTATTACCACAAATAACTTCATATACACTAGCCTACTCAGTAAATATCTTCTCAGATTTGTTGAAATACTTTATTTAATCACAGAGCCTTCTATGCAACGCACACGGGAAGTGTGACACAAACTAATCATCTTTATTGATTAATTAAGCACGAGAGACAAATTTACGTCTTATTCACGTAGCATTTTTATTTAATTTAAAAGGTACCTGTTTTATCATTACGCATTGTGATATTTTACAAAACTTGCTGCACAAAACACATGACTGTGGGTGAGAACCTTTATTTTTCCAGTCTGCACAAGGAATGACATTCAGTTCACACCCCTGCATGTATGTAACATCGTTTCTCACCCTACAACAATCATACAGATTGAAGACGTTTGAAAACAACGCTGAAGAGAATATTCGGACCTAACAGAAATAAAGAGGTGGGAGGAAGAAATTTAAAAATGAGGACAGCCATAAGTAGAATTTGGCGTTCTCGCAGAGGTCAGCACGAAGATGGCTGTCCTCTGGGTTGTAGGGAATACTTGTCGAGACGTGTAGCAAGCTTAGGGGGAGATGATACATTCACATCCAAATTTAATCTCAATCCTGAAGGGTTGAGGCAATTTGAAAGGCGTAAACGTTGATGTCAAGACAATATTAAAACAAATCTCAAAGAAATAAGGCACGTAAAGAATGTGTAGTCTGCTGGATTCAAGAGGTTCAGAGTACGGTCAACGACGGAAACTTCTGAACGGGGTAATGAATCTTCCGACTTCGGGATTTTTTCTCAGCTTTCCAAGAAGAACTCTGACCCAGACAGGTAGTTATTGGAACTTCTGAACGCGTCACAGCCGATGCAGTTATTTGCAAAACAACTAACTTGAAACTGGAATTCGGTAACTGGATTCGAAATAACGACATCGACTAATTCAGGCACCCAAATTAGTAAGAGTAAAATACGCACCTGCCCCGAACCACTGCTCTATGAAAGACGATGGTACTGTGGAGGTAAAACTCCACGCATTCTACACATCGATACTACCTGCATGTCAGCTTCACATTTTGCCTTCGAGAAGCCACAAGGGGAGGAAGCAAGGCGGACTCCAGAGTCGGTTTTGACAGGGCACCGAGATCAATTCTTGTCCCTTTCAGAAATCAAATCCGTTCGCGCAGCCAAAAACCAGTCACTTTTCTGCTGCTCCTTTCGTGAGACACCGAATTTTACGCGTCGGACAGATGAGGTCAAAATGAAGCTGAGAACTCGCCTGTGTTTACGATGCAAGACCGGGGAAAAGAAAGAGAACTGGTCGACGCATGGAACGTGCGGAACAGGACTAGACTTCTATTGGCGAAATCCTGATTAGGGTACAAGAGAAAATCGGGGTGCAAATTAGTGCTGGGGGCGTCGCGTACGAGTTAGGGGCGGGTCTGATAAAGAAAGAGAAGAGGGGTAGGTGAAAGAGAGAGGTGACGTAAGGCGTCCAAAATGGCGGAAATATTGACTTCCTTTTCAAAACAAGAATTTTATTCTCATTATATGATATTGCCCCTTTCAAGATCGGATGAGAAGTCCACCCTCTCGTACGACACCGCTTTCGTATTTCCACTTTGTGTAGCCGGTAATAAGGTAATTTCCTACAGAACAGTGTAAATCAGTTATGCTCAAACAGTCATCAGAGGCGGAATCACCAGACCGGGTCTGCATCAAAGCGAGCCGAAAACAATTGCGGAGAACGGGCACTATAGTTTTGTTAAGTTACGTTGCTGAATAGCATTAAATAGCGCCAGTTCAGATACTGTAGTTTGATTCTGAATAATGAACAAGCATTAGTAAGGGAGGAATTGATTATGGTCTATGGTAATATTCAGGCATTCGCCTAGACGGGCTGAGAAAAACCACGGAATAACTCAATGACCTGAAGGTGTCCGGGGGTGACGTTATGACGCTGCTTAGGGCCTGTAACTGGCTATGTGGAATCAGGCGAGATGACGTAAAGGTGCTTGCTATCACGATAACTAATAAACATCACTGTGTCACAAAATTACAGGCACCCTTGGTACACTTCCGAACTTGGACTGGCATTGGTTAAATTTTTTTTAAATCCGTAACGATCTTTTCTGCGATGTACATCATAGTTACATATCATAAAATATTTATGGTACAGGGCAAAGTTATGAGTGTTTATGCGATGAAAATTTCTTAGTACAATTTAGCCCCTTGGATGACAACAAGTAAAGTTCCATTAGTTTCGAATTTTGTGTAAAGTACTGATTAAGTGTATCGTGGAAGGGCATATGAAACGTCGGTAAAGTTCTAACGGAATACACGGCGCTACAACCCAGAAGACTCACAGCCGTAAAAATCACAAATTCTGATTTTATTGTGGGCTGACGAAGATCAAAATTAAATTCGTGCTGCAAAATTAGAACGAAACACGCATAATACGTTTCATTTACGTAATTCGTTAGAAGAACGCGTGAAAATGAAAGACCAAATATAAAAAAACCAGAAGTGTGAAAAATGCTACCTCATCGAATAATAAATTATATTAATTTCTGCTCGGTAATTATATTTTTAAAACGAGTCACATGTTCTGAATTCTTAAAGTCACATCTGTATTCAAAAGCTAGTATATCAGGAAGAGAAATAACACATCTGTTCCAACGTCGTATGAATAGAATTATAAGGTATATTATGTAAATCATTACTCTCACGCGTTATTTCCAAAGGAGAATACAATGAACAGCAAGCCTGCCCCGCGATGCCAGACTGTGAAATGAGAATGAAGAGGGACCACCCATTTCTAACACGCTTATGAATACTCCACTTCAACCCCCTAGCAATCTACTTAGAAGGCTAATCAACGGCCTGATCGGCAGGGGGTGTACTACCCAACCCCTCGTACATGGAGGGTGTGAGTATTTCCAAAATGGGAATAAAAGATTTAACGACAGAGAGGGGTGGAATTTGGCACGACAAAAACTTTTATACAACTGTTCCTACCACATTATTAGGTCTCCACACGAAGTATTACGTGTAAATTTCTCTCGTCTCTAAGTGAATAATGCGACAATATCCCCCTCTATCTTAAATACAGATGTCATCTGCTAAAAGACTTCCCAGCCCAGATTATTTTTCAGTAATCCTCTAATATCCAGAGCTAAAAATTAGCCCTGTATGAATATCACACAAGACAGCCTCTACTGAGATACGTATAGCAGATACGTCGACCTTCTGTGGCCCTTAGTGCTACTTAATTGTGGGATACTAACTAGTGTTCATGCAACTTCCATGATGTACATTCACGTCCTCTAACAAAAGGACTCAACTGACATACGAGTATGCCTAGAAGCGCTGTTGTATTTCGAGAGATATTTGCGATATAGATTAGACATCTCACTGTATTTTATTATATTACACTATATTTAACAGATTCACAAATTAAAAATTATCTTGGCATAAATGTTTGGGCTATAATAGGCTACAGGCCAGTGACTAAATTACTAGGAAAAAACTAAAAATACAACCAGTACAATGATAAATTTTAATAAACAGTTTGGACAGAACAACAGATCAAAAGACGCCTAACACAAAATCTTCACAGCGTAAATCTAAGTACGTGCTCAGTAAAAACGAAAATCTTGAGGGTGGGGGCGTGGGGGTGGAATGAATGAACTTTGTGAAATCGGAACGCGCTTAAGAGGCTATACCACAAGAAGATGGTTGAGGGGTTTGATTTCGTAAGATTTCTGGTTCTCACAACAGCAAAGCCGCGGTCGAGTGACGTACTCCTGCTTCGTATTCGGTGGGTCTCAGGTTCAAACACTGACGACAAGACGACAGTCTCATGTTTTTTTCCAGTATCAACAGTGGTGCGGTCATTTATTTTATGATGTATTTAACGGCGCTGATACTAGCTGAATTATGTAGTGCAGAATGATGGGATGGTCAGCACCATTAAATACGCCATAATATAAATAGAACACAGTCGCACTTCCATTTTTGTCACTTCATTAAGCCCTGTTGTATAGCAACATCGTGACTGTACACAATCGATCTTCATATATTCACGATGGCCCATTATCGATTCTTCTTATATTTCTTCAAGTAACCTAAAATTACTGCTTCCATCATCAGGGCGGCTAATCGTCCTGGTTATGGAGGCAGCAAGGACCTCTGAAACGTCGGTAAACTTCTACCAGACTTCACGGTGCTACAACCCAGAAGACAGCCATCTTCGGACTCACCGCCGTGGAAACCTCAAATCCCACTGCTTACAAACTGACAACATCATAGCTGTGTGTAAGATATTTGTGGAAACAGTCACATGGTTCTGATATTAAAGAAACGATACTCACTTTTCAATAGCGGAAGGTCGTTAATGAAGCCCGTGCCATCGTCCACATTTGCGTTCTGCAAGGAAGAGACAAAGCTGAATTACGAATTACATTTCATAAAGCGTGCTTAAGTGCATTTCATTAATAAAATAAAACAGTGTACACACTAAAAGAAAATTATTAATTGTATAGCAACATTTAAAGACGTTTCTTTTACGGTAACTTAGCAGGCAAAGTGAATTGAACACATTAATGATGTCTTTTACTGTCCGAATATTTCGCTTGAAAATTATTCATCACACAGAATGCAAATGCCAATACCATTGAATTTTCTTTGTAGTTAATGTGCAAATTAGTTTTGTACACAACAAATTTCCAATTGCAACAAGTGTACAGTCAAGATCTGCGATGAAACAAAACTGCAAAAATACATTTGAAAACTGCGACCTGGTCTGTTTATTCGAGAAATAAAAGAAATGTAATAAGAATTTCTTGCCCATTTAAGTGGAAAGAATTCCATGTCTTTGGGCAGGACCTGGGGGTCTGTAAAATATGGCCAAGAACCCAGCACGACTACTCGCGTGCCACTTCATTGTTTTCACAGACGAACTTGTACTCTGCCTTTACAAAATGCATTCATAGTTAATTAGTGTTTAATACAATGTAGATTAGCACGTGTTTTCCACGTGGTTGGCCAAGCGTGTGGGTGGAACAGTGGGAGGGGAGAGAAGGAAAAAGGGATAAAGCTGGCAGGGAATCGCTATACGGTGTTACGTAACTTAAAACAGGTGGCAAAAGAGGAGAAGACAATTGCACGTTTGTTGAATACAACGTTTTCACACTCGCTGAATCTTCCCACGAAAGGTAGGCAACTTATACAATTAATGGCTACTTCCCACTGCACCCCGTTTGTTATCGTTTAGAATTATGGCACACGAAAGTTCCTTTAGGCATCGCCCCGTGACGTTAAAAAAAAATAGACAATACTGGAACCATCAGCGTGTTAATGGGAGCTTCCGGTTAATTTGTCTAGCCACGGATCACGACTCCTGAAATCTGTTCTTAAACTATGACAAATCCTTTGTTCCATGTCGTGTTTAAGAGGACATTAGTTTGGTGCTTTGTACATAAGAGAAAAAAAAATATTTCGATTAATGTTTATATTATTTAACGACGTTGTTTCAAATTCAGAGTTTCTAAATCAAATGAGTTAAGGAGGTAAAAAGAGAGATTTATACACCCATATAAAAAAACTTGAAAGTAGAATTTCGTAGTCTATTTGAAGGTATAATTTCCCGGGTTTCGCCCTGGGAACTGGGTAAAACTGCGAAAATCCTCAGTCAAGACATCTGATAATTTGGTCGACATTCCAATCCGACAGCTTCTGATTGAAGTCGAGAACGCTACAAGGTCACGTGCCCGTTCGGTAATGCAGATGTTTTATTACGATTTATTTGATTTCCTTAACGGTCAAGATAAAGTGGCCTCTGTGTCAAAACATCGTGCAAGGAATGCAATTGAATTCGTGGAGGCAAAGCTCCACGTAATCCAGACCTAGGCTTTTGGCGGGTCGGAAATCTGAAGAAAGAGACACAGGGGAGCCCGCAGATGTTCAGAATACATTGATAAAGACATTGATTGACTGATTGATTGATTACTGAGCCTACAATAGACTGAACTGCACTGGTTATCCTCGGCGAAGGTCTAGGCGTCGAGAAATTCAGTTACTAAACTAAAGAACCAAATTAACTTACCTCTCGACATTTTCTTAACATGTGATGGTTAAGGACATGATTTCGTATTAACTACCTCTATGGAGCACAGTTCTTGCCGAAGTTAATAATACGCTCGGCAAGAAAAGAAATTTCTCGCCTTCACACAACTCGAAGAGATTCATTACCGTGTTCACAAGAGCCCGCAACCAGTCGCTATCCCGGGCCACATAAAACAAGTCCCTATTTCTTTAAGATCCATCTTAATATTATCCTTCTACATACGTCTAGGTACTCTGAGTAGTAACTTCTCTTCAGGTTTTCCAAAACACATTTTTGTGGACATCTCTCATTTCCCTCGTGCGTCACATGTCCTGATCACCTTATTTTCCTTGATTTGATCATCCTAGCAATATTTGGTGAGAGTACAAATTACGCAATTTTCTCAAGCACCCTGTCACTTCATCTCTCTCAATCCCAAATAATTACTCACCTCAAAGCCATGTTCTGAAACCCCTTCATTCTATTAGGTACTGTCAATTACATCATGACAGATATAATGGCTAGACCATCATTACTCGGTTGTAAAAACGAAAAAAAGAGATGAAGGCTGGGTTACCGTTAAGACAGGATAAAACGCGCATTAAATCTCTTTCTGTGATACTAAAGAGAAAATCCTAACGCTTGTAGCAAAATCTCGACCACAGGTTCCCGCAGTCATTCACAGGCATGTCAAGGCCCTGACAATCCAATAATCAACTCGTTTCCATTTTACGGAACAAAACTGTACCTCGTGTTATGTGGGCATGATTCTGCACCTTGTACGCACTTCCTAGTACATTATTATTAAAAGTTAATTAGCCCTGAGTGGCTCCAATCTCGGTGCTTCTCGAACTAATCTCCCGTCCGTCCGGATGCCTGACCGCCATTGTTGCCAACGATGCCATGTTCTGATATTTCTTATTTTCATTCTCGTGAATACAAAACTGAACAGTGTTGGCTCCACGAGACCAGCTCCTCTCAGCATGAGTGGTGGAGGGTATTTCTATTCAAGGCAGCCAACGGACGGCCAGATCATCAAGTTCATCTACGCCGCGCCTTCGGAGGTCGAAAAACGTACCTAGAACTTTATACGTGGAATTGTTTTTAAAATTCAATTACAGCTTTACAATTCAACAAATGATATAAGAAAATAATAATAATAATAATTCAATCTATTTACGTTTTTACTCTTCGTGGATTACGAAAAACTATGATACCAGTGCATTAAACCCGGATGTATTGTAGGAATTTAAAGAACAAAATATGCAAAACAGTTTAACTTCTGTGTATATAATGAGCAATGCTGGTAGGTCATCATTTGTGCTGTTAAGTGAATCTGGTAGCCACGGTGGTCTAGCGGTTAGAACGCTGGCCTTGTAATACTGGGGTCCCGGGTTCGATTCCCGGTGGTGCCCGAATTTATAACTCGTGTTGGGCAAGGCCGTGGTCTAGGCAACACGGAGTTTTCCTCCGGGGGCTTCCCCGGTTTCTCCGTGGCATCCCAACAATTACTCCATTCACACACAGAAGAAGGCAATGGCAAACCACTTCTGGATCATCTGCCAAGAACGTATATGAACAGGTCCCAGTCCGAGAAAAGGATGGAAGGATCCTGTTCATATGGACCTGTCGTCAGACAGAACACTAAATAATAAGAATCAATATAGATTATACTGAACCTCGTGTGATAATATTTATAAACGTGCCGTGGTAAGGTGATGATTTTCTGCTACGGAATTTTGGGCTTCGCGCGAAATACAGCTACCACAACGTCGATATAAGATCATATTTGAGATTATGGGAACGAAAACGTATTATATATGGCAGATTCTTTATAAACCATTTACTTGTATCATACAATTCTGAACGCTTGTTTGCACACATCGTGAAACTTTCACAAGATAAAACGAAAAATTTAAACACTAAATACAATAAATTCTGGTCACGACGAAAGTAAAATGCAGTGTGCGAAAAATGTTGCGAAGTAGGCGGACGGTACAGACGCGGAGGGATACAGTTTTTTTAAAGAAAATTCTGCTTCAATGCGTGGAGGCCTTCAACAAACAAATCCTGCAAAGAACTGATTGTTACCCCCAATCGGTGTAGCTCATATTACGATCTGTATATGAATATCATATTGGTTATATACGAAGAGGGAAATACAAAGGTAAAGACTGTTTTTTTCAATATAGATTATAGTTCGTTGTTATGAAAGAACTTCCCAACATCACAAGTGGAGAAAGACAGGGGCCGGGAAGGGAGTGTGAACAAAACTGCTTATTGTAATGGTTGTTATTAGGGGTGGATCGAAACCCCTGCCTAGTCTAAACGGATAATGCTAAGAATGACAAGTATTCTTATCAGCTGAAAGGAAAGGTGCAGTTTTATAAAAATTGCAGTTAAATAATTTGGATTCAGTGCAACATTTAGGCTTGCTAAGGGGAAGCATTCCGCCCTGCAGGACGTCACGTATAGTGTGACAGAAATTATTCTGCCTTGGTTCGGACTTTGGCTGCAAGGTTACAACATAAACAGTCATGCTGCTGTATTACAATATGACACCATAAGGACAAAAGAAACCCCAATGTCAATCAAACTGGGTATCTGGAGACGATGGGAAACAGTACAAAGAAAATAAAAAAATCCCGAACAGTGTAAATAGAGAAACATTGTTTTACAAAATTATGATCTGGAAGATATAAAACAAAACAATGTGGTGTAGACACGTCCAAAGAATGACAAACACCAGGCGCACAAAAAAACCCAGAATTATCCACTAAAGCAACATGGAACAGTAAGCGACTGTGCCGTGGGACTAGGAAAAACGGCAAGTGCCGAAGAGATCGCGCATTACGGAAAGACGGCACAGCCATCAAATATCCTTGATGTAACACCACCCCAATTCATATATACAAGGTCAGGGGTTTAATTCTGAAAAATGTAATGCTATTTTGCTGCATCTCATATAGAGGTGTAACAGTAATGGCTGATGCCTTCCGTAACCTCAGTATTTCACATGATTATGACCTACCCAAAGCCTGATAACAAAACGTAGTATTTTTAAATAAATAAGAATGTAGGCCTAATAGATCCATTAACATGTCGAAATAAAAAGTCAAACATGTATTGAAAATGGGACAGAGCAACACGAGACAGAGCAAAAGTTATACTGACAATGCGACAATCAAGAACATTCAAAACTGATGTCTGACAACCGAGAACAGACCAGTTTAATGACCAAAGGCAGATAACATCTACAATCGAAACAGGAACACATCAACAATCGCGAATAAATAAATCCGACAATCGAAACTTAATTTGC